GCAAAACTGAGTATGACTGTGCTTTATTCATGTATTTATTACAAAGTATTAATCAAACCTGCGAGCTGGCCGTGAGACAGGCACATCGCAGATGACAGAGCTGTGATCACTCCTAAATTAACTTAAAATCCTGAAACCTGACGACGGAATATGTTCGCTTTTATTACCGGTATCCTGGTGCCTGCTGTTTAAATTATTTAGATGGAAAACACCTGCCAGCCGCCGCGGTGAACCCGGAGGCTACCTGGCCTAGAGGCTGCTGATGAAGGGATTTCTACTGTCGGTGTACCGCTGGTATGTGGGGGTCTGAGCGCCTCCGACAGAAATAGATAATCTGGAATTGCAGACTGCAATTATTAAGTTTTCAGGTGGACTTTCTCACTTAAAAACATATTAAAACTACTTTATTCCCACTGATCACAGCAAATATAGCTGCAAGATTGAGATTATTTAGATGAAAAACACCTGCCAGCCGCCGTGGTGAAGAGGAGGAGACCCGCCCAGAGGCTGCTGTTGAATTAAGTTTTCAGGTAGAAAAATAGAGCAGGAGCAAAACTGAGTATGTTTGTGCTTTATTCAAGTATTTATTGCAAAGTATTAATCGAACCCATCAAAGTCATCATCCTCTGTTTCTGAATTAAACAGCTGTGCTTAATCAGACATGCCAATTTCCCCTTCTTCGCTGTCAGAGTCACTTTCTGTGCCGTACGGCTCCTCGGAAATGATGCCGGCTTTTGCAAAAGCTCGAACAACAGAGCCAGCAGACACGTTAGTCCAAGCATCAACAATCCATCCGCAAACGGTGGCGTAACTTGCCCGGCGCTGCCTTCCACTTTTCGTGAAACTGTGGTCTCCGTCTGTCATCCATCGCTCCCACGCCGCTCGCAGCCTTACTTTGAACGGCCGGTTCACACCGATGTCGAGCGGTTGAAGTTCCTTTGTCAGTCCCGGAATAACAGCGAGCACAGAGTTCATTTGTTTCACCATGTTTTTCACATCGGCTGTGAGATGGGCACGCATGGAGTCACAGATTAACAGCGATGGTGATGAGTGGGAAAAAAACCACCTGGTCTCCTTACATACACCTCCCTCAGCCACGCTTTCATCATCTCCTCATCCATCCAGCCCTTTTAATTTGCCTTAATAACGACTCCAGCTGGAAAAGTGTCTTTAGGCAAATTCCTTCTCTTAAAAATCACAATCCACGCCCACACTTCCCCCTTTAACTATCTCATGGTGGTTTCAACAGCGTCCGCAGTAACAACACATATAGGGCGCACCGCACTATATGCACCTTATAGTCACGAAAATGCGGTAATATGGGATCTAAGTATTGCTCTCTTTTTTATAAATATGTAACTGTGAACATTGATGTAACTTAATCCTCATATCTGCAAACAATCGGCAACAAAACAGGATCTGGTCTTAAAGTGGCTCCAATTTTATTTAAACCTTAACTTAATGCTCAAAAACACAAAACATACTCCTCACTGGCAGCTTTTAAAGTCAAAAATACAATGGAATTATGCTGTAACAGTACAGTGGAATAAATTTTTTTTTTAATTTTTTTATGAAATATAGTTATTTTCTTCCAACCATGGAAAAAAAAAATTAGCAATAACGTATCACACCACTTTTAAAGATTGAACCAAGTTGGGGACCTCTCATGGCCAAAAGACGGATCTTCACTACTTAGACATTAGATTAACAAAGGGAGATTGCTGCACTGTGCAGACTAGCGGCTACAAGATCAGGAATCATTGTGTTGATTGTACAAAGTGGGAGTTTGTTTAGAGTGCAGGCGCAGGGGGGTTAAGGGTAGCTGCTTCCTAGAGGGAGCCTTCCTGCGTTTTCTTGCGATATTCTCCAACCACTTGTTTTCACAGACAGGGCTGCTGCTCAGAAACAGAATTCATAAAAATTATTCAGAGATGCAATGGAAATACAGCTTTTATATGGATTTGATGAAGAAACTGCTTAATAGCATGTTTCAGGATAAAGACTAGGTTTTTTTTCTCCGCCTGCGTTTCTCAACCACTTATGTAATTGTAAAGAAACCCTTTAGTGCTTTGATACCACGAGTGTTGTGAATCTAAGCTAGGTAATTAATCTGAACTTGAGGTAATGTTGCGTGGTATTTCAGCAGTGGACTGAAATGTAGTCCAATGCACCAGTCTAAACTTTGATTAGGCCTTTGTAACACTTTGGTTCTATCTATTTTTCAGCCATGCAGGTTTAGATATGTTCCTGTGATTGGTGTCTTTGTCCCTTTGATCCATCAGATTGTTCAAGCTTCAGTTGTTGAAGGATTACCTCACATTTATAATTCAGGGCTCGATGTTAACCATCACCCGATCGCCTGGGGAAAGTAGTTTTTATTGTTGGGAGAGTACAAATTTCATTGCATTTGCCCACCGGGCAAAAAAATGATCGCAAAAAAAATTATTTATCACTCAAAATTACTTTAAAATCACCGAAATTCGCTGAAAACGACCCACAAGCGTTGCCGGCGCCATCTTTGTTGTTTTGTACACATTCTCGCGTGATTTGAAAAAGCCGCGTGATTTTCCACTAGATGTTGTGATTCAGCTCTTGGGGAGAGAATTCTGCAGAGCAGCAGCTGGATGATGAATTTAAGCTATACTATAATAAACGCTAGATTCAAAATGATCAGTCAGGGATTAGGAAAATAACTGTATGCGCTCAGTGTAAATATTTCTATCATATGGCAGTCTTCTGTACAGTGGTCATACATTAAAAAATTTTCATAAAATTTTTTAGACATTGGAGTTGTGCATTTAAATGTTATAGAGCTAAATATGTTAAATTGGTGAGTAGTAGTAGTGTAAGTTTTTAACCTGTCAAGATTTTTTTAGATTTTTAACATTGCAATTTATATTTTTCCAAGCACACAACAGTTTAAAGCAAAGTTTAGATTGAAAAGAATGTGCAGGAAGGATTGAAAAGCATGTTAACAAGGTAATGTAGGCTTGAGTTCATTATCTGACGCATGCATGTACACACCAGGAACCTGGAAACTTACTGAATTACAAAAAAACATTTAAAAAAACAAACAGGTTTCATTGATATGTATACAAAAATGAATATTAGGAACTATATTTATCAAACATTCTACTGGGCAAGTAAAAATTGTTTCTGGGCAAATGAAATGTGAAAGCCACTTGCCCTTCTTCGGGCAACCCCTGTAATTTATAATATACTGGCAACTTGATGACGAGTCGCTGCCCCAGTGCTGGGGCTACACAAATCGTCCAAATCATCATCCCTCCTCCTCTGTAGTTGTCAAGTGGCATAAAGTGTTTTGTACTTTGTAGTACTGGTCAGTTGAGGTGTAGTTTTTCAACCCTTTCAAATTTCACTCTAATATTGATACTATTAATATAATATTGATAATCTTACGTCTAAAGATTTGCTGCTGTCTTATTAATGTTCTCCATTTCTCTGTCAGCATACAGACGTGAAACTGTTTAAAAATCATCATCGACTTTAGATTGTAACGGTCATTGCTCATGTCAGTCCACCCTAGCATTTTATTGGCACACTTTAGAAAATGTTAAAGGTATTTTGGAGGATTTCTGCAATTTTTTTAAAAGACCCACCCTCTCCAACTCTACATGCACAACCTTGTACATGCTCCAGAGAGGGAACGTGTTAACGTGTTTGACAGTGCATCACTGACCCTTTGATTAGAGGATAAGTCATCGCTTGTTGGTCCATCTTGATTTAATGGCCGGGGAGTGGGCAGTTTGACCTCTTGACCCTCTTCTGTGGAGGCGGAGCTTCTCAGTGTCCGGAGCTCCTATCAGAGGGTTAATAACCGACGGCTGTTCACGGCGATGCCGAGTAGCCAGACCGGACGACTACCCTCTGCTGTCATTCTGTCGGATGCCCGTCTCCCCTTTTGGGCTTTCCTGCTTGGTATCATGTTTTTGCACTTCACTTCTCCCGAGCAGCAAACTCCAGCTTTTTTAGACCAACCACCATCAATCTCCCCAATTAATTAAAAGTTTTAATTAGCTACGTTTGGCTTGTGCTCTCCCTCCTAAATTCAACAGTAGCATCAGCATTGAAGCCTGTTTTTTTTTTTTACACACAGCTTCTCCGTTGTTCAATGAATAAAGTGTCAAGGAGCAAAACGCTGTGCTGTTTACACTGAAGAGAATTTCTTCGTCACAGAGCAAAAGCATGTCTCGATTTGTGCAGTTCAAACGCTCTCCCATCCTTGTTGTAATCATCAAACCCAGAGTGTCAGCGGGTGGAGTTCACTTGCAGTGCTTGGCATAAAACACCTGTTGGGCCTACCGTCTGTGTCCTGCTCTGACACCTCCCCTCTAAACCATGCCTCACGGCCCAAAATATTCCTTAACCGCCAATGACGCACATGCAGCTGCTGCCAGCACTTAATAGAGGCTTTTCATGCTGTCTGTGTCTTTGATTTTTACCTTTAACTTTATTACACCTATAGTCCTACCTTTTGGCTTTTAAGTGTTAGCTTTGGGTGTTGCTGCGAGCTTTCCCTCGATTGGGGAAAAAGGGAAAAAAAAAGACATAAAACTTGTGTTGGGTCTGTTTGCGTGCCTTACCCTGCTGAACAAGTTCCCCCATGTTCCTGGAAACTCTTCAGGTGTCAAACGTCAGCCACTGAGAATTATAAACAATTAAGATCCCCACTTATGTAAACATAGCATGGTGCCATTTGTTTGCGAAAAGAGGGTGAAGATTGATTTGTTATAATCACCACCTGATAGAATGCGGCTAATTAAAAATGCTCGTTATGTTGAGATTGCTTTGAGTTTTCATCACTCAGAAGAGGACTCTTTTTTTTTTTTCTCTGTAGGTAGAAAGATTCTGGCAGCTTTTAGGATGTTTCTTATTGTTCGTGCATTCTGCCAGTAGAGGCGGTTTGTATTGAGCACATCTATTCCCGAGACATTAGCGGGCCTTATCCGTAACGTTTTTTTGTTTTACTATGGTTACAGGTACATGACTGCTCTGACAGACTCTGACGAAGAAGATCAAAGTGAGGAAGAGGAAACAGCTGAGGAGCAAACGGCGGAAAAGTTATCCGTCCTCTTCGAACGAATCGACCGCTTGCGTCAGGGTGACGAGTCGGACAAAAGGGAAACCCTGAATATCCTTTTGGAGCAAAAAGAGGAGGTATGTTTGTATTTTTCCATTTCCTTAACTGCATACATGACAAGAGTTTTACCTAAACTTTTTATTTACTTCTGCAGTTTGGACAGAGCTCAGAGTTTCTGTGGCGGCTAACCCGAGCTCACTGTGACGTTCATGACATCAGCGTCACTCAGGAGGAGAAAAAGACCCATGCCGAAAATGGTAATCAACCTGCTTTTGAGTCTCGTTCACAAAGATAAAACAATAAAAGGCTCAGAAACATTGTTGCTCGTCCTACACCTAAAGAATAATACAGTTTAATCTGCAGGATCTATTTCAGTATCTTTAGATACTTTGACATTAGTGCTACTAAAAATAATCCTAAAAATTCAGCTAGTAGGCGATCATTTTTTACATTGGTCGACTATCAAATGATTATTTGATGGTTTTCTTTTTAAATAAATGAAGCGGCTGTACACATTACAGAAAAATATTTTTAAAATTTGAATTTGATCAAAGTATTTAAGTTAAATTCAGCTAAGGAAAACGCAATCATTTTATTATTCAGAAAGTTTAATATAAAAAGGGGCCCTTTAAACACGTTCTTGGTAAATGGGTTAAAGTGCAGATTCCTTATTCATTTACTACATTTAATTAAGAAATTTCCAAATTGAAAGCACTAAAATAAAAAATTGTATATGTTAGAAAAGTAAACCAAAGTTTAATTATTGCTGTTCGTTAGAGCTCTCTGTCCACTGCATCTACTTTTCGCTCGGAAGAAGAGGGGATAGGAAAACACCGCCCCCTATAGTTCCAGTTGCAAATTGCACAGCAAAGTATATCACACTGCCACACCAGAAAAATTAGTGTTGAAAAATGCATAAAGGAAATTTATCCATAATGAAAAAAATATGTTCTATGGAAGCCTGTTTCAGCCACATGAAATAAAAAAATAAAAATTCATAATTATTAGATTCAAAGTCATAATTTTGACTTTCAAAGTCATATTATGAGATATTTGACTTTCAAAATTTTTATCTCATAATTTCAACTTTCAAAGTCATTATTATAAGTTACAAAGTCATAATTTCGACTTTCAATTATGAGATAAAAAGTCATAATTATGAGATATTCGACTTAAAAATTTGTATCTCATAGTTATGACTTTGAACCTCATGATTAGGACCTCGTATTTAGCATTTTTTTCATTTTCATGTGGCGAAAAAACAGGCTTCCATACAATTCTTTATAATATCGACATTATTGATCATTTCCGCTACTGGCACCAACCCTATGGAGTATTTATTTTTATTTTTTTTCATGTATTGTTACTAATCTTCTGCCGGATTGAGTTTCTTAAAACGGATGCAAGCTTGTTTATACGTGTAGAGCAGACCTTCAGAGAAGGTGGAAATTATTTTGCGTTTGCAGACAGCGTGGCCCTCGCTGTTGCTCCAGTTTGCCGCCATGTTGCTGTCGGTGTCTGCTACCCACGCGTACCCGTCTAAAATGTACATCTACAGGTGAAAGGAAAAAAAAAGGGGCGTGGGCACGGTTATATATGAACATAATTAGGATATCATAGAGTTACAGCATGAATGAAACTTATTTATACTTTCATATTTATTAACTCTACGTCTTAAAAAATTTAATTGATTCAAAAATATCCAGTTAGCAGTATTTTTTTAAGCAACGAGGCAAACCTTCTTACTTCGGCCAATTTTCGCTTTTTACAAAAAGATATTGTGCTTGGCTTCATGTGGACAAAGCCTCAATCTCTATTATTTGGATTGAGCTTTTCGTTCAATTTAAATGTAAATTTAAGGTATTCTTATACCTGATTCTTATAAATAAACTGTCAGGGTAGATTATTCGTCGACCTGACGGTGTGAAACTCAACCACTAAGCTTAGCTAAATGATGCCTTTAAAAACGTATTAATAGACTTTTAGCATTCCGTGGGATGTTATCTGATAACTGCCAAAAATGTTTTGTTTTTAAATCATTTGAGCCTTAATTGAAGGTCATAGTAAAATGATGATTCGTTTTTAGATTTCATGCAAATGAAAGTCTTTGGATGTGAAAGATTTGAAAAACATTTCCATCTTCTGCAACTTTTTCCAGAACGCATGACGAAAGCAAACATTTCCCAGCTACCTTTTTATAGTACAATTTGTACTACAGACGGCTGCGTTTGTTTTCTTTTTTTTTTTTTTTCTCAATGAACAGAGCTGTTTTTTTGTGAGCCTTCTGTGATCAAAACTGGATCAGCCTGTTTCTCTGAACTTAATCCTTCCTCATCTCTCATCAAGTTGGCCAGGTTCTTTTTTATAGTCGTCTGTGTCAGAGAATTTGATAGTAACAGGGACATGGGGATTTCAAGAACAGTTGCATTCATTTTGCATCCATTTAGATATTAATTGAGTTATATTTGTAACTAAACATTCTACATTTTTATAGGCTGTGTTAAAAGAAAAGAAAACCAAGGAACACAGAAGTCTCGTTAAAAAAGTGTTTGATACTGGATCTGGATAGGACAAAAAAACCTGTTGTCCCAGATTAAGTACCATCTGAAGCAGATGAGGACTTTAGTTCAGCTGCAAAATCCGAAGCTGAGCAAGCATCTGTTGTAATTCTGTACTCAAATCTGAAAATGCTTTCCAGCCGGGCACACACTGTGCGATATTTTCAATCGTTGTATGCAGCTATAGCTGAAACTGTACGACGAAACCGCAGGGTTTAAAAGTTCACAATTCATGTTCACACTGTGCGGCCCGAAGCTTTGATGCGACCTTACGATGGCTGATGGAGTTTCAAACATTTTTGATTTTTTCCCGACCTTACGATTCCTGATTGGGAGGCGGTCGTGAGAGGCTGATCGCACATCGTTACCAAGGCTGAAAGTCACACCGACCGAAAAATTCTCGCACGACTGGAGAATCAGCCAGAAAAGGGCAAAACATCATACAGTGTATGCCCGGCTTTACTTCTAATATGTCCCGTTTGATTTTCTCTTTTATAGCTGTATCAGATCACTGTCCCATAGGGGTACAGAATTAATGAGTGGCGGTCTAGTGGTTGGTGATTTGAGTTTGAAACCCACTCCCACAGACTGCCACTCTGGGTCTCTGAACAAGACCCTAAACCCCACACTGCGCCCCAGGAAGGCAGCCCACTGCTCCCCAAGGGGATGGGCTAGATGCAGATGTAAATTTCTCCAATGGGAGCTCAATTAAATCAAATTATAATTGTTATTTATTATAATTAAGGGTTGTTGTTGTTTTTTTTTACATTCTCACCTCTGATATTCCGTGGCTGCTTAGGATCGTTATGAACGCACCTTTTGCATGTGCAGCCTCATTTATGGAGTAACCTGACATCGGTGATGGTACCCAAAATGGGAAAACTCCCACTGAGTGTTGGAAGCACTAATATCACCATCCAATTTCCTGAAATCATGCAGCCCTTTTTAAAAACAGTCACTTGTATCATCAGAACCAAGAAGTGCTTTTTCATCCATGTTGTTACTTGCAATTTTTTTTTGGCTCCAGTCCGATTTTTTACTTTTTCAAAGAACTCTCAGAAATGTGCATTTTGTGGGTTTTTAGTCACCCCTCCATGTTGCACATTTTCTTTAATTCAGTTGGGGGTTGCTGTTTTGGTTTCTCTTTTACTGTTCAGTCTATTAAAGATTTTGAGTTCTGTAAATTTTAATAGTATTTTTTTTAGACTTTTTAAAGTAATATCTAATGATATGTGAACCTATTTGCTTCCATTTTCCTTTTTGCTTTGCTGCCCAAACTCCTGAATGTTCCCACTCAGGGTCAATATGTTTTTTTTCTTCTTTTCTTTTTTATAATACAAGAAAAGAAAAAGAGGCATGGGATTTGTTATTTTTGTGAAAAATTAAGTCTTTCTCCTATTTTCCTGTTAGGTAAAAAAGTTGGTGAAGAGGCCATAAGAGTCAATCCCAGGTGTGCTGAAAGTCATCAGTGGTACGTTTTTAACTTTTTTTCTTCTTAGATTTTTACTTTACTGAACATATATATTCAGAGGTTGCCGTAAAGTTTTTCATTTTCTGTGATTTTAAGTAATAAGGTAAAAAAAAAGAAAAAAAGAAATCGGTCATCATCAGCTTTTACCCGTTAATTTGTTTTAATTGAACTTTATTGATCTCACAATGGAGAAATTAACTCTGCATTACACCCGTCCCCTTGGGGGAGCAGTGGGCTGCCATTGTGCAGCACCAGGGGAGCAATCGGGTGTTAAGGGTCTTGCTCAGAGAGCCAGAATGGCAGTCTGCGGGATTGGGTTTCCAACTCACAACCTCAGGATTCCAAACCCTAACCACTAGGCCGCCACTCCCAAACCATATGTAGGTAATAAGCAATTTATGTAATTTATTTGAAATTATATACAGTCCAAACAAGCTGAAAGAGCCATCTACAAACAAACAATTTGTCCACATTTGGCTTTTGAATGGGATCCAGAGATGGCAAAAGTACTCACTTTCCGTACTTGAGTAAAAGTACAGATACTTGTGTTAAAAAATACTCTGGTAAAAGTGGAAGTACTGATTAAACTTCTTTACTCAAGTAAAAGTAACAAATTACAGGCTTGTAAATTTACTTAAAGTATAAAAGTAAAAGTAGAAACCACTTTTTTCATGCCGTTGCCAACATTTTAAATGGATGTCTGCCAATAAGACTAGATCTCTGTTGTGTTCATTTTCAATCATCTCGTCGTCCATACTACTAAGCTGCAATGATTTGCAGCGAATGAATACCTCCGAATCTGTCGATTCATCTTGTAGTGGTGCGTCAAATGCAACATAGATTCCCATCCAATTAGATTGAATTTGGTATTGATGACGTGAAAAATAATAACGGTAACTCCATTGAAATGATTCAAAACTAAAGTAATGAGCCAATTTTTTAAAATGTAAGGAGTAGAAAGTACAGATATTTGTGTAAAAATGTAAGGAGTAGAAGTAAAAAGTTGCCATAAAAATAAGTAGTAAAGTAAAGTAAAAATATCAGAAAAATCTACTTGAGTACAGTAACGAAGTATTTGTACTTCGTTACTTCCCATCTCTGATGGGATCTATGCTCATTTTTACTTCTTCCTTCTGCCAGATATTCAAATCTTTATTTTTTGTAGAAAAGCACTATTAATGTACCAACTAAACTCATGCCTGGCTTGTGCTCATGTAGCTGAAGGCTGTAGAGTTTTCAGGCCTATCTGCCTCACCTTAGCTAGCCTCTTCTACCTCACAGACTTCTATATCTCGCCAAAATGAGTGAATTCCGTGAGATTCTCCGTTTTTGTACTAGATTTTCGTTTATCAGAATAACATTATTTATTTACTGACTGTTTGCTAAATTCCACGATTCTGTCCACTCGCCACAGTAATCATAGAGCCCAATTCACATTGTGATCCATGTTGCGTATGCGCCTTTCTCTATCACACATCTTCCTTCCACTCAACTTTCAGTTGATGTTTGTTTGAAGATTACACCTGTTTTTGAAAATATAAAAAATCCAGAATAATTGGCTGTCGACCTGCTGTCTAAGAATTTATGCTGTTGGTTTTGTCTTGGAGCCAAACTATAGTTGAGCTGATAAAAATAGATGTTAAGTGACAGAATAAAATGAGTAAAAAGAGGTAATTTCCTATAAAGAATGCCTGCTAATTGGAATGATGGGATGTTCCATGAAGCTGATGTTCCCATGAGCTTGTATATTTTTCTGAGAAAATGCAACATGTGACAAAACACAACAGCTTAAGAGAAATGTACAAAACGGTAATTAATTTAGATTTTTAAAAAGGGCAGAAAACGAGTAAAGTTCTGGTGTTTTCCTTGGCGCTCTCATCTATACTTGACTCCCTTCTGGTTTTCTTGTTTTTAACCAAATAATTCAGAAATGAGTAAAAATGTGGCTGCAGTTATCTGGTCCTGCATATTTATGAGATAATGAAGCTTAGCTTCCCTCATGAAGCCGATAGCATCACATCCAGTTTCAGGAATGTAAACAGAGCAGGGTTAACTTGGCTTAAATATACTGACAACTGTATTTAAATAACTCCTGTGATTAATGTAGCCGCGATACGACAGTCGCTGTTCCTGTAGCGGCTAAGCGTGAGTACTGCCTGTGTTTATATATGTATGCATAGATTGAAGGCTTTAGGATATCAGGCGGAATTTAAGTCTTCCTTTTTTCACTTTGTGTGCAATCTTGTGGTTTGTTCTACATTTTCCAGCAGATTTGTACCAGAAATATTAATAAATCTGCAGTTTTTGGAGGTCAGTTAGTCTAACAGTGACTTAAAGTTTTGCTATGTGCTTGCCTTGCTTTAATTAGGACTTGGTAGTTTTGCTGGCTCCTCTGTGTTTCACATCTGAAAATGTACTCATGTCAGAACTTGACTGCTGATTAAATGAAGAATCCACAGCTGGATCTGTGTAATTAAGGCTGCAACATCTGACTACCATGTGTGTCATGTCAAATTACATTGGATAGGTATACAATCACATATAATCAACTTAAAAAAAGTTTATTCAACATTTCCTTAACAGTCAGAAAACCCTGGAAGAAAATAATCGTCCAGGAATTGTTTTTGTCATGGGAGCGAATAATTAGCATTGGTAAGTTAGTACCATGACTTGAGAAGTATTAGTATATCTCTTTTCATTTTGGTGGTAAGAAATATTTATTTTGTTAATCTTTTTTTTTTTTTTTTCATAATTGAACAAGCGAAGTTTGAGTTCTGTAAAAAAAAAAAAAAGGACCTTTAATCAATGTATTTATCATTCATCTACAACATACTTTTGGGTCATGCAGGTTTGCCAGGTTGAGAAATTAGATACATCATCTTAGTTTTTGGGTTAAAATATCTTTGCCTAGATTTTTTTTGAGTACCTACTATTAGAAGAACTGGATATTACTCATCTGCTTTATTTAGCCAAATTTAAAAAAATACAACAAAGTCTAAATAACAATGAAATATTTTATGTTAATTGTCCAATTTATTGTCATACTATGACCGAATTAAAATATGTGGTTTATAAAAATCTAATGCTGCTTGAATCTTCCGTTTTAAGAAGATTTAAATTTATCTGTACTTTTTATCTTTTTTTTAACCACGTTACATTATTAAAGTTAAATTGACTCCTTTAAATCAGAACCTTCCTGCTAGAACAGGATTTCAGAATGAATAGCAGGTAGGTGACTCTGATCAAGTTATCGTCTGTGATTGTGACCACCTCTTCACCTTTGGGGACGGTTAAAGTTCACGGCAGTTTCATTAGGATGAAAATGAGAAAGAATTTCTTTGTTAGAACGGTTGCTATAGATGGTTTGAGGGTCACAGGAGCTTCACAGGAACTACACGTAATGATCTAGAAAGCCTCATGTAGAAAGTGTTCGCAAAATTAAGAGACATTTGGTACAATTCTTCAAGCTGATTGTGTACCTGCCAACCATGTTGGTTTTTCTTTTTAGCCAATTATAGCAGCTGTAGCAGCTTTATTTTTTTCAAACTCTTACCAAATCCGGTCGGGAGAAACGTGGAAACATCTTCCAGTCAACAAAGCCAAAAGAATTGCGTCCTTTTGCTGTTTAAAAAAAATATAAATGGGGTTTGTTTCAGCTTAAACCGGCGCAGCCATGTTTGTTTTGTTTGGCTTCAGTCTCTCGTTTACACGTTGACATCAAAGATCTCTCTGCATTTCGTTCATTTGAAACATTTCTGTATCGAAACTAATGCATCTGTTGGCTCCTGGAAAGATGTATTTTATGGAGTTAGTGAATTTACAAATCTCATGACAATTTATCTTGCTCGCAAGATGATATATAATGATGTTGCCTAATAAAATTGACAATTGCTTCAAAGTAACTACATTTGGATTACAGTTGAAGGATTGCACAAGACATACAACTGCACAAGACTCACAAGTCTGAAGCACTTGTAAAATATAGTCATACCTCAGAGAAGGGTAAAAATGGGGGGATCGCTCGTATGAACGATTTAAGAACAAATTTGTTTCTACGAAAAATTCTTCCGTGAGGCCCAGTGTTCTTTGGAGAGAAACGACAATAGGTCTCATGATACGTAGACTTATTCGCACAAACACCTCGTATATCTGCAGACACAATGGTAGAGGTGATAATTTACTTTGATACAAGGCATTGAATGAGTTTGTTAACTTAGAACTCTTTCTAAGTTAACAAACAAACACTAACAAACCAAAAAAACAAAACTGATCTGTGTCGGTGGTTGAAGATCCCAGGCTAATCAAAAATATGGAGAAATTAATTATGTCATTAGTTTGTTTCCAGGTGTAATGTTATTCCCCATGTGTAAGACTTCTTAGCTCATTTTCTCTACCACATCCAAACAATGCAAAGCAAATCTGGCAACAAGATTGTTTGGCACAAGCATGCAGCAAACACCCGTAGTGCCGCTCCTGTGTTCACAATCACAAATAAACCGCCCAAGCTTGGGAAACAAATCTGAGTTTTATTTAAATACCTCAAGTATCAAAACATCTAAATATTCATTGGTTGGACATTAACATACCTGTGATGGTTAAAGGTCTATAACCCTCTTTAACGCAACCTTGAACAAAGATAATTGACCCGAAACTCCAGCAAAACAATGTGAGAGATTAATTAGGTTTTTAGAAGTGTTAGTACTAGGTAGATACTAGTTCATGTGGTTCCACGAGCTTTAGTACTGATGTATTTTACTTGTATGAATGCATTGTTGGTTAGGAGAACTGCCTTTGCACCATGACTGCTTATAATTTGCTTGTTTACACAACATAAAGACTTCCTCATTCTAAATGCGACAGAAAATTCCTGAAATTAATCCCCTTTTCTTTTGACATTCTGCAGTTTTCTTTCATTTTCATAAACAAAGCTTTACCAGGAGGCTGAAGCCTTGTTTTCTCAGTCCACTTGTTAACAACTGGACTCAGCGCCACCTGAGATG